TGCGGGCGTCCGCATGTGGCAAAATGACAAATATATTTAGTGCTAAAGGGTCATTTACATCCACTTAACTTAACTTGACGTACGGAAAATTAATAATAAAAAAAAGTTGAAGATCACATAGTTGTTACATCCACTTAAAAATTAAGAAAATTAACGTGACACACGGAAAAGTTGAACCAACTTAAGAAAATCCGTGCAATAAATAATAATTTCCATTTCTGTGCATATAATTTGACTTGACAGTTCAGGTTATAAGTGCGCATACGCATACGTCATGTAAGATAATTTACTTCATTGTTAACAGAGACCTTCTCAGTTTCGTACGTTAGTTATAATTTTCCGTACCTTAAGTTAAGTTAAGTCGATGTGAATGACCCTTAACTCATGACAACCAGGTAAAAACAAAACGTGAAAAGACCTGTCACTCAAAAAACTAAGGCTAAAGACACAATGGCTGAGATACGTTTTCGGATACGAGACTAGGCCCGTAACTATGCGGACTACGAAACCACCGTATCTATTCTGCGCGTGAGCAGATCGATGCGGAGACGGATACATATAAAAATTCAGGATAAGCAAGTAGACACTTTAAGCAGGTCCTGAATTTCAGACGTATCTAACGCAGGATAGATAGCAAATACGGTGGTCTCGTTGCGTTGCGTTGTCCGTATCGTTACGGGCCTAGACTCGTATCTGTATCCGAAAACGTATCTCAATCATTTGACACTATTGAGGGATCTACCTGACAGTTATTACTAAAATAACTTCAACAACATAAACACAGTACTTATAGATAAAAATAAAACCTACAAACACAGCTACAAAATCAAAACAAAACTTTTTGTGGTTAAAAAACGTGTCATCCAAGGATACGATCGTTTACGTAATGTATGACCATTAAAGGACTTTTAGGCGGTCAACGTCAGTCGATGCGTTTACAGAAGCGGATAAGGATACGTAGGAAAATTTAGGGTTTGCTTAAAGTGTCTAGTGTCTACATTGATAACCAACGCTTAGCTATCTACACGCGTAAACTTAATTATAAATAAATAAAGCTTGACGAAATATCTGAAAGCATGGCGCAGACGCTACGTTTTGCACAACGTTTTGTCTGCATACAGTTAAACACGTTGCAGACAAAACGTTTTGATCAGTAAGCTGAACCGTAGCGTCTGGACCGTGCTTAAGTCTATCGTACTGAAGTAAACAAACGTCAAAGTTGTTGAAAGAACGACAGTGACAGGGGTTCAAACGGCTGCGGACGGTGGTAAATTCGTCAAGTTGGATCCTATATACCTAGTAGCCTGCCCCTTACTGTATACAGTAAGGGGCAGGCTACTAGGTATATAGGATCCAACTTGACGAATTAACGATCGTCCGCAGCCGTCTGAACACCTGTCGCTGTCGGTCCGCTGTCGTGTTTTCGATGACTTTGACGTTCATAAACCATGGTTCACATCAGTACGTTTTATGATTTTACAGACTTAAGCCCGGTCCAGACGTTACGTTACTGATACCTGATCACGTGTTGAACTGTGCAGACAAAACTTGATGTAAAACGTAGCATCTAGACCGTGCTTTTAGATGTATCGTCGAGCTTCACTTACTTATAATTATTAAACGGCGTGTATAGATAGATTTTTTTTGGAACCGAAACAATAATCTATGGAAAAAAAACATGTATTTTAAAAAAGCCATCCAGGAAAAACTAAAAATATATTCAACATAAAAAATAGAAAAAAAATTAAGTAAAATAAAAATAAAAATTCTAGTTTTGACCCCAAAAACCTGGCTCGATTACCATTTGCACTACAATGTAGCAAATGTTCAAACAGTCCCAGTCCACCTTCTTGAACTAAACAATGATCTAAACGATCATAGAAGGCTCTACGAATATTATTTAACATCACAGGGGTGACAGTTAGATATATTTCTCGAATTTTGAAACGCAGCTGCTCAAGGTTCACGGCGCGATTCTCCTGAAAACCATACATTTTTGATTTGCAATAACCCCAGAGAAAATAATCGTTGGGTGCAAGATCGGGAGAGCGTCACAGTATTGTAGCTCTCGACCCAGCACTGAGACGGTTCGGAAAAGTATTATTCAAATGGTCCAGAATGAAACCCGTATTATGGGCTGGACATCCATCTTATTGATACCATATTTCATTAAATCTATAGGACCAGATAATCTTTCAATTTCTGGAATTATCTGCCGTTGGCCCGTTGCAAAAGATCCAAATATTTTGGACCAGTTAAGTTAGCGTCCATGAAGTACGGCCCAATAATATGTTATCCACACAAACCGCTCCAGACAGTTACCTTTTGACGACGTTGGGCTCTAAGCTCAAAATACGACCAATAACGGGTGTGACTAGGATTATGTCGACCATGGAGTTGAAATGTCGACTCATCTGTAAAGACAATTTTTCTAAGAAAATCTTGATTTTCATTTGCCTTATTAATGACAGTTTCACAAAAATCCATTCGCCTGATGTTGTCCTCGGGATCAATTTTTTGGGAGTTTCTTACTTTGTACGAACGATACTTTTTTTTTCTGTGGCTCCTAACCGTCCTTGTACTTGAGTCAATATCCTACGCAAGCGCACGAGTCGAAATAGTTGAAGTTTTGTTAACTAATGCCAACAACCAACAACATAATTTATTTGGCTTCTTGATCCTCATTATTTTCCGGGACGTCATTTCGTTTGGTTTCAGGGAGAAACACAACCGTATTTTTGAAAATTATTAACAACCCTAGAAACGTTTTACTTGGTTGTCGCCCAGGTTAGCGCTAAATCGATTTGTCATTTTCTGACATGCGGACGCCTGCAAATTCGTCAGGTTACATCCTATATACCTAGTAGCTTGCCCCTCACTGTATAGATTTTCGCTCGTCGTTATAATTTATATTGTAGTTAATTTTATGCTCATTTTCTTTGTCGCGCAGGACATTTTTAGCAAATCTCCAGTTCGTTAACATCTTTTCCTTGAAGTTCTTTGTCTCCGAGTTATGCCATGATTTCCACCAAGCTGGACAGCTACCAAGGTGATCTATATCCCTAAAGCGGGGCGCAATAAGAAACCACATCCCAATCATTTAGACCATAAGTCTGACATCGTTTCTCCGATCCTAAAAACTTTAGAAAAGGTGCTAGATGAGTGGATTAAGGGAAAGGCGCTCAGGGCTAGCCCTCTTTAGTACTCACCAATACGCCTATCAGGCAGGAAAGTCCACAGAAATGGCTCTTAGTAACCTGGTCGCTAGTATAGATGACTCTCTGGAACGTAAGAGCATTGCTCTTGCCGCCTTTTTGGATATAGAGGGAGCTTTCAACAATGCGATGCCAAGCTCCCTTTACGAGGCAAAAAAAAAGAGGCATGGACCCGCTAATTTGTAACTGGATTAGGATCATGCTGAACGGTAGAGTGATAACGAATTCTCTACAGGGGGAAACGGTCAGGTTCAGGGCCGCCAGGGGCTGTCCGCAGGGAGGGATACTCTCTCCGCTTCTGTGGTCACTTCTGGTGGATGACCTCCTGGCCGTGATACTACTGTGGGGGGTCGAGGTTCAAGCATATGCGGACGATCTAGTTAGAATAGCCAAGGGTAGTTCTGAGACGAGGGTCTCAGCTGCACTCCAAGAGGTGCGTGTTTGATTGGTGCGAGAGTGAGGAAATGAGAATCAATCCTCACAAAATGGTCATAGTACCCTTCACCAGGAGAAGAAAACTTGATGACTTGGTACCCCTAACTATTCGAGGAGAATTATTACCATTCTCAAATAAAGCAAAGTATTTGGGAGTCATCCTGGACAAGACTCTAAACTGGAACGCTCATTTGGAAAAAGTAAGCACCAAAAGGCAAAATTGTCGCTTTGGAACTGCCATAGGATCTGCGGAAAGACCTGGGGAGCAATTCCAAAACAGATTCACTGGATCTACACCATGGTTATCAGACCAATGATAACCTATGGCTCTGTAGTATGGTAGGGTTAGGCGAATCAGAAAAGGGTTCAAGCCACACTTAGCGGACTGCAGATAATAGCTTGCCTGGCGATAACAGGAGCGTTGCGCACCATGCCTACAGCAGCTATGGAAGTCCTCATAAACCTGACTCCACTCCACTCCACATATACGGGAAGAGGGAAGCAATGAGGTCAACCTATCTGCTGTACCATGCTTCAAAAAGCACTTTGGACGGGAGTACTCGGGAGTAGCGCAATGCAACACACGGTGCTTGTGAATGGAAAGAATCGACACGGCACCCTAAGCATGCCTTCTGACATAATGCCAAAGAAAACCAACTTTGGTTTGCCCTTCAAAACAATGATTCCCGACAGAGAGCTATGGGCCAGCGACAGGACCGAGCTACTGAGGGCAGATCTCTGCCTGTACACTGTACACAGATGGCTCCAAAACTAAACATGGTATCGGAGCAGGGGTGGTGAAAACCAAGGCTGGGAATTCCTGTCAGCGTTGGCAAAAACGCATCCATATTTCAGGCCGAATTGCTGGCTATCGAGCTTGGCGCAAAAAAGCTGCTGGAAAAGCAACAAACGCGCAAGTCGATAAAAATATTTTCTGATAGCCTATGCATGGAAGAGGACGAAACTGCAGAACACGTCCTATGCACGTGTCCGGCAATAGGCCAAATCAGGCATGGTGTTTTCGGGGAGTCAGCTGTTCGACCCGAATACATAAAGCATGCTTCCCCCACACTTATATATCTCCACCTTCATAAAGCTGGGTACGCATATGAGCATGAACGCGAATGAGGCAGCTCAAGAAGGGCTGGACTGATGGGGGAAATATAAACTCGGAGTGAGCCACAATAGACCGGTGGTTGGAGTGGAAGGGCCGACATCGGACCACTCACAAGAAACCTAAACCTAAACCTAAACGTACGCCATGATCATGATTGCATACTGTGTTCTGATGCAAAAGTTATTTCATCATAATATTTGAAAGAGTATAAAAAATAATGCCAATTTACTCACCTTTATATATTATATTGGTAGGAAGATTTGTTTCAAAAGTTTCAAATGAAACCTTTCAACTTGAGTCAACTTAATTGCAAAGTTCTGCGTGTTATCAAATTTTCTATGGCCAAGTGGAGCAAAATATAATGAACGATGTTGTCATAATAGTTTAAAATGACATTGATGTTTACTTTACGCATGTTGTTTTATTCGCCTTTCTGTTGCCAACGTTGTCTGGCTGTTGCTCATAAGAGATTTTCTGTTGGCTTGTTGTGCCGGTTAGTTGATGGATAAAACAACTGGTACAAAACTTTTAATAAACGTTCAAACACAAACGTAGGAAATTCAAAGTTTTCATAGGTCAATATGACTTCCACTTGGTTGGTAGGTATAATTAAAAACTTCTTATTCCATTCAACTTTAATCTAACCTCGACTTGAAATCTGGATACCATAAAACAGTCAACATTGCTAAAAACCATCTCCTTACATCGTTGGCTTGGTGGCTCCAACGGTGTAGCCAACGTAAAACGCCGATGGAAAAAACAACACTTATGATGGAGCATCGACTTTTCTTTTGTTGAATTTAACAACGCTTAGATGCTCATCTACGCTGCCAACGTTGCTTCAACAGTTGAATAAAATAACATGCGTTTTTCTGCAACACCAGTTATTGGTTATATGCCTGGATCCAAAGTTGCAAGAGTCAAATTCAACCCAATCACCTTCTATCCCAAAGCAAGACTTTCAATGACCATAATGCATTTTTAATCACAAACGAGATTTTCTTGAGAGATCTTAACAATTATTATCGATGCCATGGCAGCGTTCACCAGATATCTGACCAGATACAAACGTTGGTAAACGCGTTGTGATTGTTCTGCTGAACGCTACGTTGAATTTGTGTTGAAACCAAACATGTTTTGGAAACGGTCGCCATTTTTGCAAGCATAATTCAAGAGTGTTTATAATTTTATTTTCTACTTAACTATTATAGATCCATAATACCTAGGAAACGAAATACGTTAACATACCTATAACAACCTGGGGGCATTATAAGCCCAGCCGGCGTTATGATCTATAACGCCCGCTTATAATACCTGAAGTGTTTTTTTTTTGTTGTTGCTTTCTTAATTTGCACTTTACCATAGGCAGCCACTAAGTCCGACCGAAAATAATTTTCAGTCTGGCCAGGATTTGAACCCGGTCTACCATCAACGTTTCCCATGTAGTCGAGCGCGTTAACCCACACGACCACCGTTGCCTTGCCTTATGAGATCTTTATAGATATATATTAATTTATTAGGTACAGGTAGGTACATGTCAAAATACAAAACAATATTCTGTCATCAAGTTTAACTGATTTTTTTCGATTTTGTTTGATACTAAATTGACCTTTTGTCTGGACGCCATATTGCGGTGCGCTAACATAGTTGCCAAAAGTAGAAAAAAAAAAATTACTAGCGTACTGTCAACATTAAAAACAAAAGTTACTGAATAAATTACATTTAAAATTTAAAGTTGCCGCCTATTACGAATGTTTTTGAAAAGAAAAGCCATCAATTTTAGCTTGTATAGGGCAGAATAGAAATAATAAAATATCTACCTATTTACTTTCATTGTCTGTCATCAATCAGAGAGAGAAAGTAAACAAACAAAAAGGATAGCAAGGATCAATCATTTAGTTACTTTTGTTTTTAATGTTGACAGCCCGCAAGTAATTTTGGTTTTCTTCTTTTGGCAACTATGTTCGCGCACCGTAATATGGGGTCCAGACAAAAGGTCAATTGACTTTTTGTTTGGACGCCATATTGCGGTGCACGAACATAGTTGCCAAAAGTAGAAAAAAAAAATTACTAGCCTACTGTCAACATTAAAAACAGAAATTAATGAATAAATTACATTCAAAATTTGAAATTGCCGCCTATGACGAATGTTTATGGAAAGAAAAACCATCAATTTTAGCTTGTCTTGGGCAGAATAGAAATAATAGAATATCTACCTATTTACTTTTATCAATCAGAGAGAGAAAGTAAACAAACAAAAGGGATAGCGAGGATCAATCATTTAGTTACTTTTGTTTTTAATGTTGACAGCCCGCAAGTAATATTTGTTTTCTTCTTTTGGCAACTATGTTCGCGCACCGCAATATGGCGTCCAAACAAAAGGTCAATTGATGGAACATTGTGTTGAGTAGAAAATAAAGCATTGTATGCACCACGGGGCGAAATATATCCTTCGGGCATTATAATCTACATAATCCCCTCCCCTTGGTACATAAATAGCTATTCTACACTTTGTCTTTTGTGTGGTGACATGAAATTCAGAGGGTGACGTTCTATCATTGAAAAGTTGAATCGTTCAGCAGAATCAAGAGTTTACCGAATGTATTATGTTGGTATTTGTAAACTGTTTACAACCCGTTTTGGTTCTGGTGAACGCAGCCATTATTTCATGCCTGGATTACGGAGAGGCTAAAGGGGAGCGTCAATTTGGAAGGAATTCGCCTTGTAAAACGTTTGTGGCGACATCTAGTGGTATTATATTTTCACTTCTGACGCGCAATTTGTTTATAACAAAAAATTATGCTTCAGTTATTTACCTAACAAGTGCGGAAAGTGGTACTTTTTCGCACGAGACGGCAGTTGCACGAACGACGGTGCGGGAAAGTACCACTTTCAAAAGGAAAATTTTTCCGCACGCTCGTAAGAAAAAAGTTTTTTACAAATTGCACGTGATAAATTCGAAAATACCAACATTTTCTTATAATAATAATTTAAACATAAATAAATAATTAAAAACGCGATATCGAATAAATACGATTTTCTGGTGATTCCTCGCGGCTGCTATAAAATACGGACCACTTGCCTCCGCCTCGCGATACAATAGTGCCATCTCCCGTTGCACGATAAATCGTGAGATCTGGCACCCCTGTATTCAGTCTCAGCAAGTTGTTTGGATTAATATCAAAATTTTGTTAGTTTGTGATTATATTTGTTAATTTTATGATTTGTTTTATATTTATATTTATATTGGTTCATATTCTTGTGATATTTTATTATTTTTGTTATTTTAGTTTAGTTGTGTCTGTCCGTGGCATTCTAATATTTAATTAGTGTCACTTGTATTGATATTTTAACGTGTTTCATAAGCATAATTGTAATAATTGAAGATTTGCTCTTTTTGTTCCTATTGTTTAAAAAAAATAAAATACACGTATATACCGGGTGGGCCAGCGAAAACGAAACAAGGTCGATATCTCGTATTGATCGTTCATTGAAAAAAATCGCTCGAACCCGTTGATTTTTATTCGGAGGGGGAAATCTTTTGCACATATTTTCAATGTTGTCACTTCAACCCTCTCGCGGGGGTAAGCGCCAACCCCCAAATCTTAAATGGCAGTAAGGGTCGAGCGATACCTCATTTCAAAGTTAATCGAATTCTCTTCTCAACAGTGCCTATTTTTTTGAATTTGATGCAGTGGTTTTCGAGAAAACGCATTCAAAAATAGACGTTTTTTAGTCATTTTGAGCACTTTCAATTTTGTAGTTATAACAATTTTTACTTAAGAAGTGATTTTATGTGTTTTTTTCTAAAGTCGTGTGCTATCCAACTTGAAATCACAAGGTTTAAGTCTAGGTTTTTTTTATCACTCAATAAAATTTAACTAAATACATTCTAATTTTAAATATTTTTTGAAAAAAAAAAACTTAGTAAATTCAAAAAACTAGGCACCGTTGAATAGAGAATTCGATGACCTTTGAAATGAGGTATCGCTCGACCCCTACTGCCATTTAAGATTTAGGGGTTGGCGCTTACCCCCGCGAGAGGGTTGAAGTGACAACATTGAAAATATGTGCAAAAGATTTCCCCCTTCGAATAAAAATCGACGGGTCCGAGCTATTTTTTTCAATGAACGATAAATACGAGATATCGGCCTTGTTTCGTTTTCGCTGGCCCACCCTGTATATATATTGTTAAGGGTGAATGCGGAGTGTGTCCTCTGAATAGTAGTTTAGTTTAGGATAAGTCGCTTTGTCATTGGATCTTTTTGAATTTATGACAATAAAGCTTTTTTTGATTTGATTTGATTAATTCTGACTTAACTAAAGCAGAAATTGAAGAATTTTCAACATAAGGACAGATTACCTACGTAGATGCGAAAGAGCGGCGAATTCGTGGTTCAAGATTAATTTGATAGACATAGGCTGGCCGCACCAATGCCACATCAATGTATTTTGAACATATTTATTATACAGGGTGTCCCAGGGAAAACAGTCCACCCCGATTTATTGGATTTGAGATGAGAATCTGGAAAAACGCTCGGACACGTCGATTTTTGATTACAGGGGGAACTATTTTTCAGTTTTTCTCATCCCCGTAGCTTCAAACCCCCTAGCTAGGGGGAGAACAACCCCCCAAATTTTAATAGGGGACAGGGGTCATGTCATCATCTTTTAAAGGTCTCATTGAGTTCTTTATGCTCCTAGAATTTCTTCTCATTATTTTCATCCGTAACGTAAATGACAGCTTGTCAAAATCTTGGAAATAGATTCCTAGTTTTAGTGGAAGCAAAAGCGATACTTACCTCCCCTAATGAAAATACTTGAAATGAAGTTTTTTCTTATTATTATTAATGAGGTGTATACGAGAATTGTAAATTGTAGGTATTTTTAATCATATTTTTATTAAGGGAGGTAAGTACAGCTTTTACTCCTACTAAAACATAGTCCATTTCCAAGATTTTGACAAGCTGTAATTTCGTTACGGATGAAAAGAATAAGATGAAATTCTAGGGCCATAAAGAACTCGATGAGACCTTTAAAAAGAGGTATGACACGACCCCTATTCCCTATTCAATTTTAGGGGGTTGTTCTCCCCCTAGCTAGGGGGTTGAAGCTACAGGGATGAAAAAAACTGAAAAATAGTTCCCCCTCAAATCAAACATCGACGTGTCCGAGCGTTTTCCCGGATTCTCATCCCAAACCCAATAAATCGGGGTGGACTGTTTTCCCTGGGACACACTGTATAAATGCGGAACCTCAATGATATAATATTATTTCTTTAATTGGTTCACAAACAGCAAAAATATTTTTTTCTACCCGCAAAAATATGTAAACACACAGGCTGGAACATGCTCACGCACTCGGCCACGT